ACTTCAAGGCCTAAGTTATCTATTTGAGTAAGGTATAAAAGCCTTGACTTGCCTCTCTATCAATTCATTCACTTCAAGCCTCAAGCATTAACTCTCTTGCATAGCTTTCTCCCTCTAAACACTGTACTAACTTTGGCATCGGAAGGGTTTTCCTCGGCACAACCCCTGAGACCAGTTTACGTGTGTTTGCTGTGCAGGAAGCCCTCGTCCCAGTCATCACTTGGGTCGAGTTCAGTGTTCAGCCCACAAGTAGGGTCTAGACGAAGGACCAATTGTTTTCACCCGAAACAAGCACATTTATTGTTTGAAATAACATGTTGAAATGTTTAATTATAATAGAATGCTAAGACTAATATTAGGTATACGAGATTGCTTGCATTGCATTACAAAAGTCACATAGTGTTTCGAAAATGTTATAAAAACCCTAGTATGATGCCATTCCTAGCTAGATAGAAATCTTGAAAACTTTGCATGTCAATAACATAATTGACACAATAAGCCCAAAAAACCAAAAATTAAAAAAATAAATAAATTAGTAAGCATATACAAGTATGAAATTACCAATACAAACGATAATCCCTAGAATCACTAAGACAACGTACTTTTTTTGTTTCCTCTATTCATATATTAACTTTGACTCTATTATTAACATAATAACAACATATATTATCATAAAATTTGTTGTAGATAGGTATTGATATAAAGTTTCATATAATATAGTTTTTTTTTTTTCAAAAATGAATAAATAATATTCATTAATATTTTCTTGTGTAAAAATAAAGTCATATTAGTTCATCGTCATGTGTGCAAAGTTTGACTATCAGTTAAATTTGAGATAGAGGGAAAAATAATTACACATTTCCTTATTAATTTAGGCCCCGTTCACTTCACCTTATTTTTGCTGAATTGAAATTATTTTTACTGAACTGAAATTATTTTTGCTGAACTTAAATTATTCTTACTGAATTGAAATTAATTTTACTGAACTGAAATTATTTTTGCTGAACTAAAATAATTTTTTACTGATTTTTTATTATATTTCTTCTTTATAGTTACTGAATAAACTGAACTTAATTTTACTAAACTGAAAATATTTTTATTTAATATTATTTTTTAAGGTAAAAAACATGAAAAAAACGAAGTCCCTCGCGTAGGGTTACAGTCTTCGCTCTCGCCTAGGGTTCTGTTCAGGAAGTTGTTTTTCCAATCAATTTCCACAAATTGTTGCTGTGTCTTTCTACAATTCGGTATCTAAAAGGCCTTTCCGAGTTTGCTGATCATGGATGACTGTTTAATGAAGGAATGGGAGCGATTGAAGTTAACTGACGATGAGAATTTTGTCTTTGGACAATCGAGTGCATCCTCGATAGAGGAGGGATCGAATACTAAGATTGCCCTGTCTCTGGTGGGGAAGTTACTCACTAAGAAACCCTTTAATGCTGAAGCTATGAAAACGGTGTTAAAAAATTTATGGCGAATTGATGATAATGTAGCGATCCGCAGTGTGAACACGAATATATTTTTGTTCCAATTCTTTAACATCGATGATAGGCGTAAGGTGCTGGAGGGTAGGCCTTGGGTGTTTGATAATCAAATTCTGCTTCTGAAGGAAATATGTGACGAAGAACAACCCTCGGATGTTGTGTTTGTCTCATGCCCTTTCTGGATTAGGATCATTGATATGCCTTTTGGTATGCGTTCGCCTAAGGTGGCTCGTGACATTGGGGATTGTATTAGGGAGTGTGTTGAGGTTGATGAGTCAGATCCTCTCTATTAGGAGGAGTACATGAGGGTTAAGGTGGTTGTGGATATCAATAAACCTCTTAGGAGAGGTATGAAAATTGCTGTCGAATCTGGTTGTACCAAATGGATTGGTTTTAAGTATGAGAGGCTTGGAGATTTTTGTTATTATTATGGTCGAATTAGCCACACAGACAAGGACTGCGAGGAGAAAGATAACTCGATGGGGAGTCACCTATTGTATTCCAATATGGCCCATTCTTGACTGCTTCCCCTCATCGATCAAAAGTCCCTAAGGCTCAAAGAGAAAAGGAAAAAAGATGGATGGAGAGACTGAATACGAACGGTAGAGTGCAACGATCGGATTATAATGACCCTAAGGCCATTCGGCTTGGACCACCTAGTGCTGCCAGGAAGTTGCTATTTTCTACCCCTATGGCATCAGGCGCTAATTCCCCTATGCCGAGATCCATATCTCTGAAAGCTGTGGATGGTGATGGTAATGGAAAGATGGTTTTGAGGCCTATAGCTATTCAGGGAGCGTATGATTATGTACCAAGAAAGGATACGGGTCAGATGTTCAAAGAGTCCTCACGTGATGATGCTATTCTACACGATGTGGTTGATAATGTTGTTGTCCAGGCTATTGATATGGAGGTGTCTGAAGGGCAAGTGCATGCTGTAGAGTCGAAGAAGAGAAGATTAGATGCTACTGAGATGGCCTACCAGGGAGCCGAGGCAAATTGCCATGAAAAAAGAATGAAACGCAGTGTGTTTTTTGAAAATAATGTTGAGGCTATAATTAAAGTAGGGAGTGTTGGGGATACCCAAACTCCCGAAAAACAATGAAAATTCTAAGTTGGAACTGTCACGGGATTGGCAACCCGTGGATAGTTAGCACTCTCTGCGACATGTGTTGGAGAGATAGGCCAAATGTTGTCTTTGTAATGGAGTCTATGATTGATGCAAATCGTCTTAATAAAATTAAAAATAAATGTGGTTATATTGATGGTGTTTGTATTAGCAGTAATGGGAGATCGGGGGGTATGGGTATGTGGTGGAAGGATATTAAGGTGAATGTGATCTCGTACTCTTTACATCACTTTGCTATTGATATTCTTGATGATAATAATGTTGCGGTATGGAGGGCTATTGGGATTTATGGGTGGCCGGAACAATCAAATAAACACTTGACTTGGTCCCTCATGTCTTCTTTGAAAGGTGAATGTAGCTTACCATGTCTCATGTTTGGTGATTTTAACGAGATTTTGAGTCCGAATGAAAAGGAAGGTGGCTCCCAAAGGAGTGAAAGACTCATGGATGCTTTCCGTGAGGCTATGGATACTTGTACTATGCGTGATTTGGGATACACAGGCAACATTTTCACGTGGGAAAGGGGTAACACCATGGACACTTTTGTGAGGGAAAGACTTGACAGATTTATTGCAACTGAAGATTGGTGTACACTTTTCCCGAATTTTATAGTCAGCAATCTGCCCATCTTGAAGTCACAGTCCTATTATTTAATCTACGGATAGAATAGTTGCCGGAAATTGTGGGAGTACGGGTTATAAATTTGATGCTCTCTGGTTGTCAAGAGATGAATGCAGGGAGGTGGTAGCACAGGGTTGGCGTGAAAGTACGGGGCTTAATATGGCAAATAAAGTGGCTATGTGTAGTGAGAAGTTAGCTTCATGGGCTGCTTTGACCTTTGGTTCAGTGAGGAAGAGGATAAAGAAGGGGGAAAAAAGAATGAGGGAGTTAAAAGGGGGTGTGATGGATGGGATGAAGTTAGAGTTATGTAATTCTCTTGCGGCGGAGCTTGAATCTTTATATAGATTAGAGGAGTCGTACTGGCATGCGAGAGCTAGAGCAAATGAACTACGTGACGGAGATAAAAACACAAAATATTTTCATCACAAAGCTAGTCAAAGAAAGGCCCAGAATAGAATTATGAAGCTACGGGATGATAATGGGATGTGGTTTGAGCAACGTGTGGATCTTGAAAGACTGATAGAAGCATATTTCACAAATCTCTTTGCTACGAGCTCGCCAATGGGGTTTCATGATGCGTTGGAGGGGATTGAGGAAGTGGTGTCCGATGAGACGAACGAGATGCTAGATAGTGAACCAACTGCAGATGATATTAAAAATGCTTTATTCCAGATGCACCCCAATAAAGCTCCCGGCCCTGATGGTATGCATGCCCTCTTTTATCAAAAATTCTAGCACATTGTTGGTCCTGATATAATTAATTTTGTGAAGAAATGGTGGAGAGGGGATGTGAGTCTATCGGAAGTGAACAATACTTGCATTGTCCTAATTCCGAAGTGTGAGGCTCCGACTCAAATTTCTGATTTTCGACCCATTAGTTGTTGTTACGTGATTTATAAAATTGTTTCGAAAACAGTGGCAAATAAATTGAAGGTGGTGTTAGACAAGGTGATCTCTATTAATCATAGTGCTTTTATTCCGGGTCGAATTATCTCGGATAATGCACTTGTGGCTTTTGAAATTTTCCATACGATGAAGAGGGGTGGGGAAGGGAAGGATGGAAGTTTTGCTCTAAAGCTTGATATGAGTAAGGCTTACGATAGGGTGGAATGGGTGTTTTTGGAGAAGGTGATGGATAAAATGGGGTTCTCAGGAGCTTGGATCGGAAGAATTATGAATTGCCTTCAGAGTGTCCAATTTGCTTTTAAAATAAATGGGCAAATTTCAGGGTCGGTCATTCCTACTAAAGGGCTTCGACAAGGTGACCCAATATCTCCTTATCTCTTTTTAATTTGTGCTGATGCTTTTTCTACTTTGCTAAACAAGGCTGCGAGAGATGGTATGATCCATGGAGCTAAAATTTGTTGTGGTGCCCCCCGTGTTTCACATCTATTTTTTGCCGATGATGGTATCCTTTTTGCTAGAGCCAACACTATAGAGTGCTCTGTGATAGCTAATATAATTAGCAAATATGAAGGAGCTTCGGGCCAGAAAATTAATTTTGATAAAACTGAGGTGACCTTTAGCAAAAAAGTATGTTATACTCGTCGGACAGAAATTGTGGATACTCTTGGGGTTCGGGAAGTTAACAGACATGTAAAATATCTGGGTTTGCCGACAATAATTGGTATATCTAAGAGAGCTATCTTTGTAGGGCTTAAAGAGAGGCTTTGGAAGAAACTTCAGGGTTGGAAGGAGAAATTGCTATCGAGGCCCGGGAAGAAATTCTGATCAAAGTGGTAGCTCAGGCTATCCCGACTTACATGATGGGAATTCTGAGGATACTCGATGGAATTATTGAGGAGATCCACTCTCTTTTAGCTCGTTTCTGGTGGGGGACTACGGGAGCAACAAGAAAGTTACATTGGCAGAAATGGGATGACTTATGTAAACCAAAGAGTATGGGTGGTCTAGGCTTTCGTGATCTCCGTTGTTTCAATCAAGCTCTCCTGGCAAAACAGATTTGGCGACTTCACCATAACCAAGGTTCCCTCGTGCATTCTATTTTAAAAGCAAAATATTTTAAACATTGTGATGTGCTTGAAGCCTATCGGGGTTATGATCCGAGTTATACGTGGAGAAGCATATGGGGTGCTAAATCTTTGCTTCTTGAGGGGTTGAAGTGGAGAGTGGGAAATGGAACTGATATCCCGGTTTGGGATTGTGCGTGGTTGCCAGGGAACTCTTCGATATGTGTACCTTCCCTATTGGATAGAAGTGATATGAGCTTGCGAGTCTGTGACTTGATTGATCATGAATCAATGTCGTGGCGAGAGGAGGTAATTCGCAATAACTTTAATGTTATTGAGCAAACTTAAATATTGTCAATCCCTTTATCATTTCGGAGTGTGAAAGATCGGATGTACTGGTGGCCTTCCAGAGGTGGAGAATTTTCTGTGAAATCGGGTTATTGGATGGCAAAACAAGGTCCGACTACAATCCAAAGACACCCACAAGATGAAATATGGCGAATAATTTGGAGGTTGAAGGTTCCTCCAAAATTAGCTCATTTCCTGTGGAGGGCCTGCAAAGGCTTCCTGGCTGTGCGTGAAAGGTTATATATCCGTCAGTTGCTTGTAGATAAATGCTGTACAGTTTGTGGTGAGGGTGATGAGTCGGTGATTCATGCCACCTTTGGATGTAAGGCCGCAAAAGTCATCTGGGCAGCTAGTAGTCTCAATCAGTTGGTTGCTCAAGCTCCTTCTGCCTGTTTTAGTGACAGATTCCTATGGTTAGCTTCAAAGACCTCATATGAAGAATTGTGTTTGATAGCAACATTAAGTTGGGCTGCTTGGTGGTGTCGAAACAAAGCTATCTTTGAGCATTAATTCCCATGCCCCATCAGTATAGCGTCGAACTTAACCAAATATGTACATGAGTATGTGGACTATGCAAAAAAGGTATTCATGAATTATGGAGTGCATGGACTGCCTGCCGCAAATGCTTAGGCTCGGCCTGATGTGGGTCTGGTGAAGATAAATTGTGATGCTCATATAGGGAGGGACGTTGGCCTAGGGGCTGTAATCAGAAATGAGGAGGGGAAGGTGCTGGCTGCTGCTGTGAAGCAGAGTGCTGCTGGGTGGACATCAGAAATTGCAGAGGCAGCTGCGTGTCGTTATGGACTTCAGTTGGCAAGGCGACTTGGTTATTCTGCTGTTGTGCTGGAGAGTGATGCATCCATGGTTGTGTAAGGGGTTAAGAAGAATGCTGCAAACTACACCCCTTTTTCTTTAATTGTTGATGATGTGTATGCTCTTTCTCAATCTTTTATTGCTTTCTCTATGTCTCATGTTAAACGTGCAGGGAATATACTCTAGCGCACCATGTAGCTAGATGGAGTACTAGAGATTGTATTGAACTTGTTTATTTAGGTCCGTTTTCCCAACGTCTCTTAACTCTGGCGGAAATTGACCTCCTTTAATGATACTCCGTAGGTGTTTTAAAAAAAAAAAAATTATTTTTTAAAGTGAAATGAAGTGCTCTCAATCTCTCATCATTTTAATTTTTAAATCTTCTCAGCAGCCTGTATGGGCTACGCTTCCCTTACATCAACTTTACCTCATCTTTCCTCAAGGAAATTTGATGGTGCACGAACTTTTTAATTAAAGTTGAAAAGTAGCAAGTCAAAGATTCAATCACCTTTTATAAAAAAAAAGTTACTAGTATATTGTAATATACAATTATACATCCAAAAAAGAATTGTACAACCACAAATATTCCAAAAAATTATTTTTATTTATTTTTTTTGAACCAAACACTTATATTACAAGGAATACAAGTTTATTGCAGGTTCTATGAGGGTTAGCCATTGTAAAAAAAAAAAAAAAAAAAAAAAAAAAGTTTACAACACCCTTGACAAACTAACTATTGAGTACTTAGTAAGTTAACATACAGCATTCAACTAACTATTGAGTACTTTGTATAAAATGCAAACTAACCCATCGTGCAATTAGCAAAGACATAGATCAAACTTGATTGCACCCACTGGTATCCCAAAGGTAAGGGTTACTAATTGAGTTCCTTCCAACCCATTTTTACAACCTTATTATTCTAGTTCTCTTCCTTCAATAAAAACTCATTTTAAAATCAATAATAAAAAGGCAAAAATTTTCGACTTTCAAATAAAAGGGACAAAATTTCAGATTTCATTCCCCCTACTTTTTTTTTTGGAGGTAAGCGGGGCCCACACAGCCCATCCTATCACAAGAGAAAACTGTGGGTGGGAGTGCCCGGGAGTGTGCTCGATCCTGGGACGGAATGTGGTGTAGCTCCACTGAGCTATTCACTCACTGCACTTCATTCCCCTACTTGTGAACAAGAATTTTGGTCATTTTTTAATATTTTAGCTATGAAATCCCCCAAAAAATAAAAAAGTTGGAGTCTTGGATACTATTTTTTTTAGTGTTTAGAGAACCACAAGGACGAGTGATGAAAATCGATCACAAAATCTCTTGAAATCGGGAGTAGGGGTGTTCAAAAATTGGTTCGAACCGAAAAATGGACAGGACCAAATTAATCGGTTCAGTCTCCGGGTTGAGAAATTTATTTTTCCGGTCTTCGACCCGGTCCAAAACCCTATAATGATTAAGATTATCCTTAACAACCTTGGAAAACTTTAGTCATATGAGCTTTTTTGTGCTAAACATACAAAAAAAAAGACGTTAACTTATTGCTTTTCCTTTATTTTTTTTTGAGTTTTTCATAAATTATTTAAAATTTAGGAAACTTTTTTATAGAAATTCTAAAATCGATCCAAACCGGTTCGGTCCGATCTTTGATTCTTGAAATTCAAATTTTCAATTTTCGATCCGGTCCGGATTGGTCCGGTTCAGACCGATCTTGGACTGATAAGCGTATCCTATAAATTGGTGGGCCGATGTACATTAGATAGCCTGAAATAATGAAGAAGGGCCCACTTGTTTAGCTGGCCCTTCTGATTATCCATCTGCCACGTACGCCTCTCACTCTCCCTTCACTCTTCTTCTTCTGTACTCTAATTTAGACAGAGAAAATAAAGAAGAGTGAGAGAGAGAGAATCGCCGACGAAGAAGGCGGGAGGACGTCGAAATCGCAAAAATGGCGTTTTCCGGATATTCTTCCATTACAGGAAACCCTAATTCCGCCATTCTCTTCCCTCCTCCTTCTCCTTCTCTTACATTATCCCCTAAATTATCTTCTCTTTCCTTCAATCATCCTCCTTCTTTGTCCTTCCGATTCGATCAATCTCACCGTTCTCGGATTCATCATCGTCGTCTTCATCGCAATTCTGTGGTAATTTCTTCATTTTTTAAATTATGCTTTTATTTTCTGTTAATGTTATGAAATTGTTAATTTCTATCAATTTTGAATTTGGAAATGAATTTGAATTAAGAATGCAATTTAGTAGGAAGGCTAATCTGAATCTAGTTGGAGATAATGGGAGGGATAGGGTGGGGTTTAGAATGTTCAATCTGATTGTTTTGGAGTGTTGGGAATAATTTGTTAATTTATGATTAGATTTCCTAACTCTTATGGAGTATTGATGACCTAATTATATCATGAATGTTGTTTAAGTAATGATGTTGTATCCTTTAGTAGGAAGGGTTTCTGGCAATTGAAGATTATGTAAGATATAGGATTTTTGGGGATTTACTTGAATGATTGATTGTGTTACTAATTGTTGGCAGGTTATGGCATCTACTAGTACTTCAAGGCCACTGAGGATTATGATATCGGGTGCTCCGGCATCTGGCAAAGGAACGCAATGTGAGCTTATAACTGACAAAGTAAGCACATATCTCCCCCTCTCAGCCTCGCTTTCGAAGAAAGACATGGGTTGAGGATGTCTTTAGATTTTAGTATTACGCTATTATTTCTTCGGTTTTGAGTTTGAAAGATGGTTGATGATTGATTTGAAAATCAGGCAGTTCCTCATTGTTTTGTGATTGTTGTCATAGTGAACTATATAACATTCATTTATTGTGATAAATTTTCTGTTGAAAGTGCTCTTATATCAAAAACTTATGATTAATGTTCCATGTATTATTTCCCTTCTTTCTTCTTATGTATGTACTATGCAACTTGCGCTTGTTGTGGGTCTTGTGGCTGTATTTCCCTGCTTGATTATGTTATCACTTAGTTCTTATGTATGACTTCATGATGGATCTCTACGTGACTATGTTATCTCTTAGTTCTTTGCTTGAAATTCTCTTTATGGGATTGCCCCTGAAGAAAACAATTGAATCAGGTAATCCTCATATATGCAGTATGGTTTGGTGCATATTGCTGCTGGAGATTTGCTTCGGGCGGAGATTTCATCTGGTAGTGAAAATGGAAAACGAGCAAAGGAATACATGGATAAAGGACAGCTGGTTCCTGATGAAATTGTTGTGATGGTAATGTACTATTTTGCATAAACTTATACCACAATGTTTGCATCATCTGTTGACAGCTCCTTACCTTAGCTGTTATTATGCAGATGGTCAAAGACCGTCTGATGCAGCCTGATTCACAGGAGAAGGGCTGGCTTTTGGACGGATATCCAAGGAGCTTATCTCAAGCAATTGCTCTGAAAGACTTTGGGTTCCAGCCTGATCTTTTTATTCTTTTGGAAGTAAGGTTTTGTTTATCATTTTTCATTATTTAAGTGTTTTCCAGCAATTAGATGATCTTTGCACCACAGTTTTATCTAAGGAGATTCTCAAAGAGGGGCATTAGAGTTTGCTAGTATTTTACCAACTCTTGCTTGATTTTCCTTCAATTATTCTTTCTATCTTTTGGTTTTTAATAGCCGTGCTAGACATGCCTAGTACAGCGTAATGGCCATATATGACCCCTCCATGACCTTCTTTCACCAGCCATTGCCTTTAACCTCAGTTCTTTGAAAATTCCCCCGAACATAGAAGTATAAAAAAAAAAAAAAAAAAAATCTTGACATGAATAGACAATCCATGGTGTTATGAGAGAGCAGCATTTTGTGATGCATTCGATATGAACCTTCAACCAATTTTCGACCCCCCACACCCCCCCACCCCCAAAAAAAATAAAAAAAATAAAAATTATGCCCATTTCTTTATTTCTCTCATTAAAGTCATGTACTTGGGAAATATGATACAATAGTTTTCTGGATTTTTTTGATATTAATGTGGAAGCAACCATTTGGACATAATGCACAAATTACACTAGCCATAGCCCTAACTGACTTTGATGCTGAGATTTTGTCTTGTGATCTATAGATTTTACCATGGAAATTTGATTGGTTCCATCTGTTAAAATATTGTGGCATTTTGTGGTCTTCTTTAGATTTACTTGGTATTTCTAAATGTATATGCAGGTACCT